GTCATAAACTTTTCCCCGATCAAATTTGTCTATTTGATCATCTCGGCTATCTTTGTCTATTTAGCATTCAAGAGCTCGGTTTTGATCTCCGGTGCAGTGCTTTTCAGACTAGGGGCAACTTTCTGTTGCCATGAAGTGTTGTGGTACTATTCAGACTAGGGGCAACTTTCCAGTTGCTAGGATCCGAGGTTGTGCATCTCAGTGACCGATTTCAGGCGTGTCCAATTCCGATCCATATCGAAATAGTTTTGAAAAGTTTTAATAAGAGTTGACTTTGCTCAAAATTAATCTTTTTACAACTCAGACCATTTTTGGACCAAAGCAGAAAATTTTCAGTACCCACAACCTTCAATTTCATTGATTTCAATACAGAGCTCTCTTGCTCTTGCATACAAATTGAAGTTGCTTTTTTTATTACATTCATAAAGAAAACTTGAAAGTACTAATAAAGCAATAAATCCGGGGCATAGATGAGTCAGGTGTTCCTGCGCCCCCTCCCAGAGCTGGTCGAAGCCTCTGATGCCAAAGTGGGTCCTTCCTGTGCCTCTTCATTAAGCCAATCTAGGCACTTGTCAGACAAAGTGCAACTAAAAGTGGGAGCGGGGGCCAAGAGTTCTCTCATCCTCCATGCTGTGGCATATTGGGCAAGCTGTGCGCCTCGGACCGGGAATGCAGTTGGGTACTCTATCCCTTCTGGCGGACAAGTCTGATCATGGCCAAACTGGCGTTGGAACCGGAAAGGAAAGTAGAACACACAGTGAGTCAGGCCAATCAATTAAATCCCAGGTTGACGGGTCATGTTGTAACTCATCATCGGCAGATTGAGCCAAGGGCAGCGCCAAGCGATGCAGTTTGCAGACAAACTGCACATCCAGTTGTACCACCACTCCTCATCCAAGGCATCGACCAGGCGTTGTCGAAAAAAGTAACCGCGAGCTGAGTACGCTGGGTAAGACTCCACAATCTGTAACTTGTCCATTAACCACACCTGGAGAGGGATTGAAAAATGAGAGAATAAAGAATAGAGAGATGTATGATGAGAGAAAAGAAAGAAAGGGATTTTGTGAGAAAAATCGAGCCTGAGGGCCGAGTGATGTGAGCAATACATATATGAGATTGGGTGGGAAACATTACCTGCAATAGTAGTGGGCTCCCCGCAAGCCTAGCCATCTCCCGGTGATGAAAAGCGTCTAAGCCCATCAATGTCTTGGCCAATGTCATAGCAATACAGCTCTTGCTCTCCTTCAAACCTTGGGCAACCTTAATCAACCGAACACTGGATCCTCCAGAACCTGAGACGAGTAATAAATGAGATAGCAAGCATAGGCAAAGTGTGTGTTGCCGATAGCCCTGCCAATGATGGTCGCCGCGGTCACCAGCATCAGAAAACTGGCAAACCAAGCTTGGGATGTCCAGCTCCTCATCATGGATCAATGATCGAGCATCATGTAAAGAGAGGCCGCACATTTGTCCTAAGGCTTGGACGTGGCCGAATCGGAGTTGAGGCAAGATTTCCTCATTACGCTCGGACTCCATCAAAACTTGGAAATCCTCGAAAGTAGGACACATCTCTTGCCCACTAAAGCTAAAGACGTGTGTTACCGGATTCCAAAACCTTGCCGCGGCATGGAGGAAGGGAAGATGCAGCGAAGTACGGCCCAGCGTGGATAGCGCATTCAAGTCGAAGCTCCGGAAGTTCAACTTTTCCGAGCCATCTAGGGAAGCGATCCAAGCTGTGAGATTTTGGATTAGAAACGCCTCTATTTTGGTGCAAAACTGAGATGAAATGAATGAACCACGAAGCTAGGTCCTTTATAGAGGATAAGGCACTGTCTGGGTGACACGTGTCGAAAATTTGGTGGCTGCCAAGCTAGGTGGTCGGCCGGCCACCTTTTTTGGTAGGCCGACCACCCCTCTCCCCTCCAATGCAAAAAGCTGGTCGGCCAGCTCTCTTAGGTGGTCGGCCATAGAGGGGAAGGTGGCTTTGGTCTTGTTCTAGCTTCTAGAAGAAAGTTCCTAGCATTTCCATGCATTGGGGGTGTTGAAGGTACGAGTTTTCCTCCGTTTCGGATGCGTTCCGTCAGCCAGATTGTCCGAAATGTATTTGTTTATCGAGTTATTGTTAAGTCTTGCTTATCGAGTTGTTGTTTTGCTTATTGAGTTGTTGTCTTGTTTATCGAGCTGTTAAGTTTATCGAGTTGTTATGTTTTGTCGAGCCGTTGAGTTTTGTATGTTGAGTTGTTACTCTTTGTTCAATCAACATTGTTGTGTCTTGCTTATCGAGTCGAAAACTTGCTAAGGTTCTGTTCTTTCTTAGTAAGTTAAGTTGCTTTGTTTGTTGCATCAGTTCACTACCTGACTTGGCAATTTTCAAATGCACAATTCATTTCAATCCATTTTGTGCAAAATGATGCGATGCGATGCAAGAACGTATAATACAACACTTTTTACAAAAGCTGTTTCATTCCATCATGCTCCCTTTGTTACAACATTTTACAACAAGGGTACAAGTTTTTCAGAAAATAAAAACTGCCTAATAATGTACAATGTGCTACAACTACTAGCAAAAAAGGCAAATAAAGCAGGAACATCTGTGCTCTCAAGCGCAAGAAACAGAGGCCCTCTTCGTCCTCTTCTGCGGGACAGCCTCAGCACCATCATCGCCATCTAAGTCAGAGCTGTCATCCTCGGGATCCCCCTCGGCCTCATCTCCAGAACCAGAACTGGATTCAGAGTCATTCTCTTTGCCGGCGGATGTCTCTGACTGAGGATGCGCGGACTCCTCCTCCTCGCTGGACTCCTCCTCTATGATATGTGCTCTGCGCCCACCTCGTCTGCGAGACGACTCCCCTCTCCCAGCTCCTTGAGAAGGCCTAGATGGCCCAGCTCCTCGGGAAGGCCTAGATGGCCCGGCCTGTGGTCCGGTATGTAGCGAAGGCATCTGAAAAGAAAGAATGCAATGCATCAACCAAAGTACGTATATCAGATGCAGATGCAAGAAAATTACATGAAGTGGGTGCAGGCAGATACAGTACATGAATGTGGTGTGTGTCAGATGTGCTCTACACATTCAATTAATCAACGCCGTAAGATGTTCAAGTTCAACATGTCATCAGAAGTATGACAAATGTTAAAGAGTACCTGGAAACCCATGATGGACAGCTGCGCCTCTCTCCGCAAGACCATGCCCTCGAGCGAGGCCACCAATCTGAGCATCCCCCCCATGTACTCTCTGGGTGGCTGCACATACAAGCTCAAATCATAAAGGACTGAATGAATGCCTAAGTATCTGAGTGATAAATGAAAAGCAGTGGAGCATACCGGTGGTGAGTCAGGATCACTGACGTATCGATGATCAGGCATAGGGGGCTCTATTGAAATCGGGTAAGAGCTCCCGTATCGCCAACCCGTCAACTCGGTCGGAATGTCAGGCCATCCGGCATGATGATAAGTCAGAGGAATCGGAGGGACCAGTCTACCCCCACCTCTTAACGTACCGGCTCTGCTAGAAGAAGGGGTACCTGCAGCCCGGGCTCGACTCGAAGATGGCATGTCAGCGGACCTCCTCGTGGGAGTATGGACACCTGTCAATGGGGGCATCAAGTATGTGTGACGGTAGGTCGCGTACTCCCCCTCCTCCCAATATAGTAATACGTCCGTACCCAGCATGGCACTGATAACCTCCTGGGGAGTGAGCCTCCCGGTAGCCCGCATATCGACCGGAGGTGCTGAGGGGATATCCTGATGAGGGTAGCCCATCGTCTGGCGCATGAAGCGTTCCCCCAAGAACAAGGCCCTACCGACCGGCCCCTCAAACAGGACCCTGTACCGTGAAGCAGCCCATCCTTCGGCAAGCTGAAATCGGAGGTCCCCACCCAAAGGCACCTAAGGTTGCCACGTGATCTGCGGACAACAAATGTATAAGCCGATTAGAAATCATAAATGCGCAATCTAAATCAAAGATGAAAACTTGGAAAACTGGGAGTTCTGAGTTACCTCTGTCGGCCGCACCGTATCAAAATACTGCCGCAGGTAGGGGAGAGTCTCCCGAGGTCTCGGCCGGTATTGGCCCTCGAAAACAAGTGAGTAGGGGGTCATGAGGGGCGCCTCCACCTCGAGCTCTGGGGCTAGCGTTGGGAAGTACGCAAAAACCCATAACTGTGAAAAACAGGGCAAAAGCCATCAGAATACAGAATGCTGAGCGCAGAATCCGAATACAGAATGCTGAGTGCAGAATGTGAGTACAGAATATAAAGTGTGTCGTGTGTGCAATGTACAGATAATGAAAAGCAGAAAAGTAAATCAAGAGGGCAGAAGGTACCTCCCAAGCTCTCCAGTAGCCACCGACTATGTTCCCCCGTCCGCGGGAGGTTGCGCTCATGTAGCAATAAAGGGTAGCTAAGCCGGCGCCACCCCAATCATACTGGCTAACCCGCGATAGGTCCACCAGGGCACTCAGAAGATATAGTCCAACGGTGTTCCCCCTATTGGAGAACAGAGTGGTCCCGAAGAGGAACATCAAAAACCCTCGGGTGTACTGTGCTATCTCCTTGGGAGTCTCGGACTCCCTCTGTCTGAAATATGAAGAAAACCAAGTGTACCAGACTCGACCCGAGGATCGGTCGACCGGTGGACGAGCTCCCAATAGTTAAATCCAGGCAGCCTCCCACTCGTCCATGTCCTCATCATAAGGGATCGCCCAGTCTCCCATGTCGAGGCCTGTTAATACAGCGAAGTCGAATGGGGTCATAGTCATGTCCCCGCATGTTCAAGGTCATCAGCGCAGAATTTCCCAGGCTTTCAACAAGAAGCTTAAGTCCAGGAATTTGAATGAAGGAGATTTGGTACTCAGGGATAACCGAGCTCCCATCCATGACCCAAGGGGCAAGTTCAGACCCAATTGGACTGGTCCCTACATCATTAAGTCTATTTGGTCGGGTGGAGCTGTTGTTCTGATGGACCTAGATGGCGTAGAGTTCTCCCAACTGATCAACATGGACAAATTGAAGAAATATTACCCCTGAGAGGCTCGCTAGGCCGAAAACCCGAAAGGGTGACCTAGGCAAAAGTTAGAGCACGTAAAATTAGAAAATATAAAAACTAAGCTCGCAAGGTTAAAAACCCGCAAATGGCGGCTTTGGCAAAAAGTTAGAGTGCAAAAGGAGAGTGAAAATACTCGAGTAAACCGAAGCCTGAACTACGTAAGGCTTGATTCCCATCTTTGGGATACGTAGGCAGCTTCATCCTGAAGTTCAGCCATAAACATTTCCCCGATCAACTTTGTCCATTTGATCGTTTTGGGCCATCTTTGTCTATTCAGTATCCAAGAGCTCAGCTATGATCTTCGGTGCAGTGCTTGGCAGACTAGGGGCAACTTTCCAGTTGCTTGGATCTGGGGTTTGTGCATCTCAGTGACAGATCTCAGGCGTGTCCAGTTCTGATCCATATCGAAATAGTTTTGAAAAGTTTTAATAAGAGTTGACTTTGCTCAAAATTAATCTTTTTACAACTCAGACCATTTTTGGACCAAAGCAGAAAATTTTCAGTACCCACAACCTTCAATTTCATTGATTTCAATACAGAGCTCTCCTGCTCTTGCATACAAATTGAAGTTGCTTTTTTTATTACATTCATAAAGAAAACTTGAAAGTACTAATAAAGCAATAAATCCGGGGCATAGATGAGTCAAGTGTTCCTGCGCCCCCTCCCAGAGCTGGTCGAAGCCTCTGATGCCAAAGTGGGTCCTTCCTGTGCCTCTTCATTAAGCCAATCTAGGCACTCGTCAGACAAAGTGCAACTAAAAGTGGGAGCGGGGGCCAAGAGTTCTCTCGTCCTCCATGCTGTGGCATATTGGGCAAGCTGTGCGCCTCGGACCGGAAATGCAGTCGGGTACTCTATCCCTTATGGCGGACAAGTCTGATCATGGCCAAACTGGCGTTGGAACCGGAAAGGAAAGTAGAACACACAGTGAGTCAGGCCAATCAATTAAATCCCAGGTTGACGGGTCATGTTGTAACTCATCATCGGCAGATTGAGCCAAGGGCAGCGCCAAGCGATGCAGTTTGCAGACAAACTGCACATCCAGTTGTACCACCACTCCTCATCCAAGGCATCGACCAGGCGTTGTCGAAAAAAGTAGCCGCGAGCTGAGTACGTTGGGTAAGACTCCACAATCTATAACTTGTCCATTAACCACACCTGGAGAGGGATTGAAAAATGAGAGAATAAAGAATAGAGAGATGTATGATGAGAGAAAAGAAAGAAAAAGATTTTGTGAGAAAAATCGAGCCTGAGGGCTGAGTGATGTGAGCAATACATATATGAGATTGGGTGGGAAACATTACCTGCAATAGTAGTGGGCTCCCCGCAAGCCTAGCCATCTCCCGGTGATGAAAAGCGTCTAAGCCCATCAATGTCTTGGCCAATGTCATAGCAATACAGCTCTTGCTCTCCTTCAAACCTTGGGCAACCTCAATCAACCGAACACTGGATCCTCCAGAACCTGAGGCGAGTAAGAAATGAGATAGCAAGCATAGGCAAAGTGTGTGTGTTGCCGATAGCCCTGCCAATGATGGTCGCCGCGGTCACCAGCATCAGAAAACTGGCAAACCAAGCTTGGGATGTCCAGCTCCTCATCATGGATCAATGATCGAGCATCATGTAAAGAGAGGCCGCACATTTGTCCTAAGGCTTGGACGTGGCCGAATCGGAGTTGAGGCAAGATTTCCTCATTACGCTCGGACTCCATCAAAACTTGGAAATCCTCGAAAGTAGGACACATCTCTTGCCCACTAAAGCTAAAGACGTGTGTTACTGGATTCCAAAACCTTGCCACGGCATGGAGGAAAGGAAGATGCAGCGAAGTACGGCCCAGCGTGAATAGCGCATTCAAGCCAAAGCTCCGGAAGTTCAACTTTTCCGAGCCATCTAGGGAAGCGATCCAAGCTGTGAGATTTTGGATGAGAAACGCCTCTATTTTGGTGCAAAACTGAGATGAAATGAATGAACCACGAAGCTAGGTCCTTTATAGAGGATAAGGCACGGTCCGGGTGACACGTGTCGAAAATTTGGTGGCTGCCAAGCTAGGTGGTCGACCGGCCACCTTTTTTGGTAGGCCGACCACCCCTCTCCCCTCCAATGCAAAATGCTAGTCGGCCAGCTCTCTTAGGTGGTCGGCCATAGAGGGGAAGGTGGCTTTGGTCTTGTTCTAGCTTCTAGAAGAAAGTTCCTAGCATTTCCATGCATTGGGGGTGTTGAAGGTACGAGTTTTCCTCCGTTTCGGATGCGTTCCGTCAGCCAGATTGTCCGAAATGTATTTGTTTATTGAGTTATTGTTAAGTCTTGCTTATCGAGTTGTTGTTTTGCTTATTGAGTTGTTGTCTTGTTTATCGAGCTGTTAAGTTTATCGAGTTGTTATGTTTTGTCGAGCCGTTGAGTTTTGTATGTTGAGTTGTTACTCTTTGTTCAATCAACATTGTTGTGTCTTGCTTATCGAGTTGAAAACTTGCTAAGGTTCTGTTCTTTCTTAGTAAGTTAAGTTGCTTTGTTTGTTGCATCAGTTCACTACCTGACTTGGCAATTTTCAAATGCACAATTCATTTCAATCCATTTTGTGCAAAATGATGCGATGCGATGCAAGAACGTATAATACAACACTTTTTACAAAAGCTGTTTCATTCCATCATGCTCCCTTTGTTACAACATTTTACAACAAGAGTACAAGTTTTTCAGAAAATAAAACTGCCTAATAATGTACAATGTGCTACAACTACTAGCAAAAAAGGCAAATAAAGTAGGAACATCTGTGCTCTCAAGTGCAAGAAACAGAGGCCCTCTTCGTCCTCTTCTGCGGGACAGCCTCAGCACCATCATCGCCATCTGAGTCAGAGCTATCATCCTCGGGATCCCCCTCGGCCTCATCTCCAGAACCGGAACTGGATTCAAAGTCATTCTCTTTGCCGGCGAATGTCTCTGACTGAGGATGCACGGACTCCTCCTCCTCGCTGGACTCCTCCTCTATGATATGTGCTCTGCTCCCACCTCGTCTGCGAGACGACTCCCCTCTCCCAGCTCCTCGAGAAGGCCTAGATGGCCCAGCTCCTCGGGAAGGCCTAGATGGCCCAGCCTGTGGTCCGGTATGTAGCGAAGGCATCTGAAAAGAAAGAGTGTAATACATCAGCCAAAGAATGTATATCAGATGCAGATGCAAGAAAACTACATGAAGTGGGTGCATGCAGATACATTACATGAATGTGGCGTGTGTCAGATGTGCTCTACACATACAATTAATCAATGTAGTAAGATGTTCAAGTTCTACATGTCATCAGAAGTATGATGAATGCGAGGAAATTAAAGAGTACCTGGAAACCCATGATGGACAGCTGCGCCTCTCTCCGCAAGACCATGCCCTCGAGCGAGGCCACCAATCTGAGCATCCCCTCCATGTACTCTCTGGGTGGCTGCACATACAAGCTCAAATCATCAAGGACTGAATGAATGCCTAAGTATCTGAGTGATAAATGAAAAGCAGTGGAGCATACCGGTGGTGAGTCAGGATCACTGACGTGTCGATGATCAGGCATAGGAGGCTCTATTGAAATCGGGTAGGAGCTCCTGTATCGCCAACCCGTCAACTCGGTCGGAATGTCAGGCCATCCGGCATGATGATAAGTCAGAGGAATCGGAGGGACCAGTCCACCCCCACCTCTCGACGTACCGGCTCTGCTAGAAGAAGGGGTACTTGCAGCCCGGGCTCGACTCGAAGATGGCATGTCAGCGGACCTCCTCGTGGGAGTACGGACACCTGTCAACGGGGGCATCAAGTATGTGTGACGGTAGGTCGCGTACTCTCCCTCCTCCCAATATAGTAATATGTCAGTACCCAGCATGGCACTGATAACCTCCTGGGGAGTGAGCCTCCCGGTAGCCCGCATATCGACCGGAGGTGCTGAGGGGATATCCTGATGAGGGTAGCCCATCGTTTGGCGCATGAAGCATTCCCCCAAGAACCAGGCCCTACCGACCGGCCCCTCAAACAGGACCCTGTACCGTGAAGCAGCCCATCCTCCGGCAAGCTGAAATTGGAGGTCCCCACCCAAAGGCACCTAACGTTGCCACGTGATCTGCGGACAACAAATGTATAAGCCGATTAGAAATCATAAATGCGCAATCTAAATCAAAGATGAAAACTTGGAAAACTGGGAGTTCTGAGTTACCTCTGTCGGCCGCACCGTATCGAAATACTGCCACAGGTAGGGGAGAGTCTCCCGAGGTTTCGACCGGTATTGGCCCTCGAAAACAAGCGAGTAGGGGGTCATGAGGGGCGCCTCCACCTCGAGCTCTGGGGCTAGCGTTGGGAAGTACGCAAAAACCTATAACTGTGAAAAACAGGGCAAAAGCCATCAGAATACAGAATGCTGAGCGCAGAATCTGAATACAGAATGCTGAGTGCAGAATATGAGTACAGAATGTAAAGTGTGTCGTGTGTGCAATGTACAGATAATGAAAAGCAGAAAAGTAAATCAAGAGGGCAGAAGGTACCTCCCAAGCTCTCCAGTAGCCACCGACTATGTTCCCCCGTCCGCGGGAGGTTGCGCTCATGTAGCAATAAAGGGTAGCTAAGCCGGCGCCACCCCAATCATACTGGCTAACCCGCGATAGGTCCACCAGGGCACTCAGAAGATATAGTCCAACGGTGTTCCCCCTATCGGAGAACAGAGTGGTCCCGAAGAGGAACATCAAAAACCCTCGGGTGTACTGTGCTATCTCCTTGGGAGTCTCGGACTCCCTCTGTCTGAAATATGAAGAAAACCAGGTGTACCAGACTCGACCCGAGGATCGGTCGACCGGTGGACGAGCTCCCAATAGTTAAATCCAGGCAGCCTCCCACTCGTCCATGTCCTCATCATAAGGGATCGCCCAGTCTCCCATGTCGAGGCCTGTTAATACAGCGAAGTCGAATGGGGTCATAGTCATGTCCCCGACAGCTGAGAAATGGAAGGAGTTGGTGGTGTCCCACTATCTCTCTACAAGCGCACCCATCAACGTCCTACTGGCAGGATAGCGGGATATCCCTGTACAGAAAGGTCCAAACCCTGCCTCGTCAACCCACTTGCGGACAGCCTTCGGGAGCTCTGCGTACCACTCCCTCGCGACGATGGAGCCATACCCTCGTGTGATACGAGAAGACACCTGCATTCATAATGAACACATGTATTCAGTTTCAGAATGAAATGAATAAGCTGCGTGCAAATGACATGTATAAGCTGTGTGCAAACCAAATCAGATACAATGCTGTGAGCTGCGTACAATTGAAGTATACGAGCTGTGTGTTCAAAATAGAAGTGTTTGAGCTGTGTGTTCAAATTTCAAAATCAGTGGGTTGTGTGTTCACCTCAAAGTTTGAGCCGTGTGTTCAACATCAAGTATTTGGGCTGTGTGTTCAGATTTCAAAATCAGTGGGCCGTGTGTTCATCTCAAAGTTCGAGCTGTGTGTTCAGAATAGAAGTGTTTGAGCTGTGTGTTCAGATTTCAAGATCAGTGGCTGTGTGTTCACCTCAAAGTTTGAGCCGTGTGTTCAACATCAAGTATTTGGGCTGTGTGTTTAGATTTCAAAATCAGTGGGCCGTGTTTCATCTCAAAGTTCGAGCTGTGTGTTCAAGAATAGAAGTGTTTGAGCTGTGTGTTCAGATTTCAAGATCAGTGGGTTGTGTGTTCACCTCAAATTTGAGCCGTGTGTTCAACATCAAGTATTTGGGCTGTGTGTTCAGATTTCAAAAATCAGTGGGCTGTGTGTTCAACTCAAAGTTTGAACCGTGTGTTTCAACATCAAAGTATCTGGGCTATGTGTTTCAGATTTCAAAAGCATTGGGCTACGTGTTCTACTCTCAACAAGTGTGTACTGCGTGTTCACCTTCAATTTGGGCTAGTGTTCGAAAATTCAGAGTTTGGGCTGCGTGTTCTACTCTCAACAAGTGTGTGTTGTGGCGTTCACAATCAATATGAGGGCTGCGTGGTTCAGAAATTCAAGTGATTGGGCTGTGTGTTCATGATGCAAACGAAATACTGTGTTATAGACTAAGTGTTCAGAACAAGCTGTGTGCTAGAATGAGCAGATGAACATAGCGAAAGCATGAAATGCACGAAAAATGCATAATACATTGCGGAAAATGTAAAAGTGAAGTACATACCTCTCGTGCCTGATGAGAGAGATGGGACTCCGGCTCCCGCAATAGCAAAACTACGGGGGCTCGATCATCGAAGTTCGTAAAATGATAGAAAACTGCCCGAGGGAGGACATGTGTCGGAGGGTCGTACCTCTCAGGAATAAATGGTCGAACCCTCGGAGGCAGAGCCATAATATCTGGGTCATCTCCGGCGCCTGGAGGACCTCCACTCTCAGGAAAGTGACCGGCCATTTTGAAAAATCTGCAAAAAGGAGCAAAAATGAGCAAAATGAACCAAAATTAGAAAAAGTCAACAAAACTCAACTCTCGGGAAATGAAAAATTCAACAAAAGTCAACTCTTGAGAAAATCTTCCAGATGTTGAGACAAACTTACCCCAAGTGGTGAAAATGAGGAAAAGAGCTCCGAAATCAAAATCTAATTGGTTCAAAGTGAAGAGAATTGAAAGTTTTCGCGAAACAACTTTGCGTGGGGCGTTGGAAAACGCGTATAGAGCGTAGATCTGAGAGGGAAAATACTCTAGGAAGGGAGAGGGACTGATTTCAAACCTGATGTTATGAGCAAGAAGTGTTTGGCTTTGTGTATTTAAAGAAATGAGGGTGAAAGGACAAAATTGCCCCGGATTTGGGCTAGGTGATCGGCCGACCACCTTTTCTGGTAGTCCGACCACCCCTCTTCACCAAACCTGGTCGGTGGCCTCCAGTGGACCCCAAACCTGGTCGGTGGTGTTCCCAAGATGGTCTCCAGGGTCTCTGCAAATTTTGGCAGTGATCGGAGTCCCCGGCACCCGAGAAAGTACAAGAAGAGTGCACTGTCCGTCGCAAAATCCCTCCGCGGGAACTTCAACTCCAGCTTTCGATGCGTGTTTCATCATCACTCGTCAAGAGCAAGATGTATCCTTTTTGAGTATGTTGTGACCCTTCCGGGAGGTAAACCGGAGGTAGCGATTGAGTCGCACTCGTCAAAACTGGCATTTCTTCGCTCGTTGTTTCGTGTCAAACATGCATTCGAGTTTGCACTTATTCTGCATTGTTATGCACGTCACTTGCATCCTCATGAACGTCACTTACATTATTGTGCACGTTTCATCGATATTGTCATACCTCCATGCTTAATTTGCGTTGTCGCGCACATTTCTCCTCGCATTGCGATGCACTTTCCCATTGGCACCCTGTTTGTCTACGTTCGATATAGCGTTGAACATGTGTTGCTAACTATGTTGTGCTTGTTAAGTTTCTCTCTTTTGCAGGCATGATATTGTATGCACGGTTTATTTGAAGCTGGTGCAACTAGACGAATCGTGCAGGTATTGTATCTTCTCCGTGTGAGACGTGGCGAGAATTGAATAATTCTCCGCGTTCTTAAACTGCATGAAATGTAGTTGTTGCTTTGCATTCTTGCTTAAAACTGTTGCGTGTGCGCTTCATTACAGCTTGCTGCTTTGCATGATCACGAGTTACGTCCGGCTTTGTGCATGTCATTTTGCATCTTGCCCCATGCCTGCGGGCACACCTTCGTTATCTTGCCTGTTTGTCTAAGTCTTCGGCCTTGTCAAAAATGGGTCGTCTCTGGGCTTTGACATTCACTCCCGTCAATCACGACTTTCGAGTTCTGTCAAAGAGGGGCAACGTATGAAGCCTAACTTCAAACTATACAAGCAGAAACCAAGACGGATGAGCCTTGAAGTGGTTCAGAAAGTGAAAGAGGAAATTCTTAAGCTCCTTAAAGCAGGCTTCATTAGAATAACCAGGTATGCTGAATGGTTGTCTAACATTGTGCTTGTGGTTAAAAAGAATGACAAGATGAGGGTATGCATCGATTTTAGAAATCTGAATTTGGCAACTCCAAAAGATGAATACCCCATGCCTATAGTGGATCTATTGGTGGACAGTTCAACAGGGCACAGGATTTTGTCTTTGATGGATGGGCATTCTGGTTACAACTACATCTGCATTGTAGAGAAGGATGTCCACAAGACAGCATTCAGGTGTCCTGGGAATATTAGCACCTTTTAATGGGTGAAAATGCCATTTGGTTAAAGGTCCTGGGAATATTAGCACCTTTTAATGGGTGAAAATGCCATTTGGTTAAAGAATGCTGGGGCAACATATCAGAGGGCAATGAATACTATCTTTCATGATCTTATTGGAGGATACCTAGAGTGTTACATTGATGATATTGTTGTAAAGTCCCAGTATATGGAGGAACACTTGGTTCATTTGGTAGCAGCTTTCGAAAGAATGAGAAAGTTCAAGTTAAAGCTTAATCCTCTCAAATGTGCTTTTGGTGTATTAGTTGGAAACTTCTTGGGGTATGTAGTGCACAATAAGGGAATACAGATTGATCAGAATAAAGCTAAAGCCATCATTGAGGCCAAACCCTCATCAAGTAAGAAAAAAGTACAAAAGTTCCTAGGTCAAGTTAATTTTCTTCGAAGATTTATTTATAACATTGCAGGGAAAACTAAAGTATTTTCTTCGTTGTTAAAGTTGAAAGATAAAGAGGAGTTTGTGTGGATAACAGAGCATCAAGCTGATTTCGAAGGAATTAAAGCCTACTTGGCCAAGCCTCTAGTGTTGATGCCGCCAAGGAGCGACAAGCCCTTGAAGTTATACATTGCTACAGCAGAAGATTCATTGGGAGTTTTCCTAGCTCAGGACAATGAAGAAGGAAAAGAACAAGCAGTTTATTACCTTAGTAGGTTTTTAAATTCTTGTGAATGTAAATACTCAGCTGTAGAAAAGTTGTGCCTTGCATTGTACTTTGCAACAATGAAATTAAGATATTATCTTTTGCCTACTGTTGTCTTGGTAATTACAACCATGGACATAGTTAAGTACATGTTATCTAGACCTATGTTGAGAGGAGGAATTGGCAAATGGATATTAATTTTATCAGAATTTCATCTAGAATATGTCTCCCAAAAGGTAGTAAAATGACAAGTTTTAGCTAATTTCTTGGCAGATCATTTATGTCAAACAGAAAGTCAAGAGATAATGGACCTTGGTATGGTCAATGTTGAGCCATGGAAAATGTGGTTCGATGAATCAAAAGCTAGTGGTTTGGTTAGAATTGGTGTTATAATTAAATCATCACAAGGGATAGAAACCACACATGGTATCAGAGGGAATGAAACTACTTGTTCCAATAATCAAGCTGAATATGAAGCTTTAATAATGAGACTTGATATATTTATTAGATTACAATCTTATGTAGTTGATATATTTGGAGATTCTCAATTGCTAATCAACCAAGTAAAAGGAATCTTTAAGTGTTAAAGTGCAAGCATGTTACCATATTATGTTGCTGCAGTGCATTTGCTTTCTCAGTTTCAGATAGCCAATGTGACTTATATCCCAAGATTCATGAACCATAAGGCCAATGATGTGGCCCAAAAGGCTTCGAATTTCAGAAGAAAGAGGAATACCCAAGTGGAAATAAGTCAAGCAACATACCAGAAGTTAATACCACCTTTGGCTAAAAGGGGTATCATGGTAGAAGTTAACCAGAATAACTTAGAAGAGCATGATTGGAGACATCCAATCATTCAATATTTAGCTGGCCCATCTTCAAAGGCCAACAAGAAAATTAAATTACAGTCTATGCAATATATAGTGTATAACAATGCTTTTTATATAGTGTAAACTATAGGAAGCATTGACTGTTATGGCTGAGGTGCATGAAGGTATTTGTGGTGCCCATCAGCCTGGTGTGAAGATGAGATGGTTGTTTCAAAGGCATTCCTACTATTGGCTAACCATCTTAAAGGATTGCATAGAGTATGCAAAAAGATGTCAGGCATGCTAGAAGCATGGCATGATAAGGCATGTTCTGATAGCTGATTTGCATGTAGTAGTGAAGCCATGGCCATTTAGAGGATGGGCAATGGATATGATAAGGAAAATATATCCACCTTCTTCGAAGCAACGTTGTTTCGTTCTAGTGGCCGCAGATTACTTCACTAAATAGGTCGGAGCTAAGCCTTATAAGGCTGTAGATCAAACTAAAGTTATTGGATTTATCAAGGAATTGATCCATAGGTTTGGCATCCCACATACCATAACTGTAGATAACGGGATTGTATTTGATGGAAAGATGATAAAATCTTTTGTAGCAGAGTTTGGAATTAGCCTTGTTAATTCCACCCCGTATTATGTACAAACAAATGGTTAGGCTGAATCATCTAATAAATCCTTGAAAAAAGGAATACAAAGAGTTGTGGAAGACAATCCTAGAGATTGGCATAACTTGTTGTTAGATGTGTTGTGGGCCTATAGAACTTCTCCAAAGTCAAGTACAGGAATCACTCCTTATGCCTTAGTATATGGATATGATGCAGTGTTGCCTGTGGAAATTAATATTAAATCCTTGAGGGTAACATACCAGGACCAGTCAACTTATGAGCAGTACCATCAAAACATGTTCATGGAATTAGAAAATGTGGATGAAAATAGAATTTTGGTATTAAATAGTATTCTTTTCCAAAAGAAGAAGGCAGCCAAAAACTATAATAAGCAAGTCAGGCACATTAGTTTTGATGAAGGTGATTTGGAATGGAAGACAATACTTTTAATAGGAATTAAAAGCCATAAGTTTGGCAAATGGTCATCTAATTGGGAAGGACCATATCAAATTCATAGAGTTTTGCCTGGGGGAGCATACCATCTGAGAAAACTGAATGGATATATGCATCCCAAGAAAATTAATGATAGGCACTTGAAACTTTATTATCCAACTGTGTGGGAGACATAGAGAGTGCTAAACAAAATAATGAGAGAGAATGAGACACTCATATAGATAATAACAGGTTTTTTCATTTCATAAATTATTAAGTACATGTAGCTATAAATTGGCCCAGAAATCAGTACAATGCTTCAGTTGTTCCCTTACAATTGATTCTCTACTTCTAAGGGATAAGAACAACTGAATGGTTGTAACCATGTCCTGTCTACGGTCAACTAGCCTTTGATTGGTAATTTGCAGTTTTTTAGCAATACAATCCAAGGTTAGGTTAACTGCTGCTAACTCTTTCTCTAATTGGGCCTTTTTCTCCAAGAGTTGAGTTTGAAACTGAGAAGCAGAGGAATGTTGTCCCTTTAATTCAAATATCTCAGTATGTATACGGGAAGAAAATTCCTTGTCCTTCAGTAGTTTCTCTTCTGCAGCTGTAGCAATATGACAGATATTGACATAGAAGTCCATGGTAGCTGCTGCCTGGGATAAGTGGCTTAAAATAGCCATG